AAACTACTGCGGTGTTATGACAAAATATCTTTAGCGGCTTGGTAATTAAGTCGATCACACCAAGTCCTAAGATAAAATTTCGTAGCTATAAAGTTTGATTTGTGACATCAAAGCATGCCACAAATTCAACTTTCATTGTTAATGATACAATAAGTGATTGCTTTGTACTTTTCTAAGAAATTACCCCACTAGCTAACATGAATACAAATCCTAAAGTTGACTTCCTATTGTCGAGACAATTTACAAAATTAGCATCTGAATATCCTTTCACTTCAAGCTGATCTGATCTCTTGTATGTGAGAGTTCTTTACTTCTTGTGGAATTTTTCTTTATATGTTTAGTTTGCTTTCCCTTAATGCAATCTATACAAACATTAAAATTAGTGAAGTCTAAATGTTTCAAAATATTATCTTTTACTAATCTTTCAATTCTTTCCTTGGAGATATGCCCCAATCATCTATACCACAATATAGAAGATATTTCATTATTGAAACTACGTTTCAATCCAACACTTGATTGTAGGGTCAATAATGTCTTTACAAACTCAAGATTCAAATTAATTCTATACAAACCATCACACAAAATTCAAAAACCAACTTTTATTGAATCATAAAATATACTGAGTTTACCATTACTAAAAGAAAGATAATATCCTAACTCAATTCTAGACAGGGAAACTAAATTTCTAGAAATAGTAGGAACATAACATATGTCAACAAGATCTATTAGTTGACCCGTCTGTAAGCGTAGACGATAAGTCCCCACTAATATGACTTTTACTTTGAGACGATTTTCTATAATAATGAATCTAGTTAACTCATTCAAGTCACACTTATCATTATTTGTATTGTAATGAATCTTGAATGGGCCAAATTGAGAAGGAAGGGAATTGAGAACGAGGAAAGACTCATTAACATACATGTCTAATGCTTTAAGTTTTACAGCTTTGTCAGCCATATTGAGGATGTGATCCTGAATTTATCGAGTGTCATCATACTAAGTCGTAGTTAGTTCATTTATTAGTATGACAGTCAATAACTTATCAACAGATTTAAATTTGTCTTCAATAATCTTTAAATATTCCTATGCACTAGTTGCAATCGGTAATTAAGTCTTTATATTATTTGCAATCGTCATTTTTATGAACATTATACTAAGTCTATCAAATATTTCCCAACTTTTCATTTCATTAACTTATTCTATAGTACTTTCATCAGTCAAGTCTATAGGCTTTTCAACAAGCAATTCTAAATCAAGATCTAATATGCCTACTGTGAATTTCACATTTTTAACCATTTTGAATAATTTGATCCATAGAGTATAGGGATGCTAGAAGCATAAAAATGTATAGACGGAAGTACTATTGTAAAATATAAAATAACATTAATGCTTTGAGTTTTTTAAAAATTTGATAAACTATTAATATCATCTATATTACACATTTGGGTTAAATATTAACATATTTAGTATTCACTCAAGATCATCTATAGAGGATTGATACTATCCTTGTAGAATAGTA